AAATATATTTTCTTAATCGTCTGGCTACGTAAGCCAATGCATCAGAAAATAAGGGGGGCAATGATCCAAATATATATATTAGTTGGTCGAAGAAGCAATCCAGGCTTATATATATTAGTTGGGCGAGATGGCTGAGAGAAAAAAATTTCGGCTTTAGCCTCGGCCTCGACTACTTTACAAAAGCCTCGGCCTCGGCCCCATTACAAAGCAAAGACTTGGCCGAAACAGATATACATATATATATAAGCAGCTTTTGGCCGAATTAATGGGGTTTTGGGTATCATGGACGACAGAGCATGCAGGCCTCAATGGATGTATGGGTGCAGATCAATTCATGCCATGCGGTCGACTATATATATATATATATATATATATATATATATATATATATATATATATATATAACCATACATACCGAGCTCGGCGGGGTGTATTGTTGCCGAGTAAGGTCTGTTCTCTCGGCCTAGTTTTCTCGGTGGCCCAACCAAGTCATCCACCAATCATGAGATGGTCGAAGTGATTGCAAGGTTTTATCTAAAGTTACTGAGCCTCGTAGAGAATTGTGGAAGCCGGGGAGACGATAGCGTTGGTAGGACAGAGGTATTATTGCTGAGGAAACAAAATTTCTTTTTCGACGGTACGACGAGGTTTACTGGCTACAAAATAATTAATTTCCTTAACCATTCGGCTTACGAGCCGAAGTTCAAGGAAACTGGGGGGCAATGTTTGGACCCAAATTTACACCATCGGCCCATGTAATCAAGGCCGTTGAGAAAACGTAGTTCTCAACCGTCGGATGGAAAAGTGGAGATAATTTTTATTGTTAAAGGATAATATTATGATTTTTATCATGATATTTATCGTTTAAAAAATTATCTTGATATTTTCTTGTACAAGATGAGGTGCAAATTATATCTTCAAAGTGAGCAGTACAGTTCAATTTAATTTGGGGTTCTTGGGATTTAAACGTGTGGTAGATTAGAGCATTGGAGTATTTTATTGTTATTATCCATTTAAAAGTGGGTGATAAATGGTGGATAAATGTTGTTGAGCACGTAGCTCGGAATCGATCAAGATGGTTTGTTGAGATGCATGCATGATGCATGGATGGGATGAAATTATGAGATAAAATGAATTTAATATTCATTTAAAGGAAGCCTAGGAACGTAGGTCTTTTTGGTGATGTGATGATAAGGTAGGCTAGGTTTTTAATGCTTATTTCTTGGGTTGGTTCCGTAAAGATGGATGGAGGAAAGCAAGTGGTGAAGCCACGTCACCAAAGATCAAATCCTTTAAAGATCAAGGGAATTTGAAATAAGAGTCAGGCCGTGCCAAGCAAGTACATCAGGTTCTATAAATATAGAGGCAGTGCATCATTCAAAAGTCCCCACAAAAATCAATACAAAATTGCCCTGCGCAAACTCTCACAACTTGAGATCTTTTTCTTTTCCTTTTTCGCTGACACATCTTCCGTTGGCATCAACAGCACTGTGGAAGCAACCGGTGATATCTTAAGTCGGCATAGATAGCTCTGTCACCGTAGAGTCGGTCGGTCGGTCTCGCAGTATCTTCCGTTGGCATCAACAGCACTGCGGCGAGAACGGTCGATTGCCTATCCAAGTCTCGGTCGAGAAGGGTTTTCGAATCCTTGTTGGTCGAGGTCATCTCATTAGCCTTCTCGGCGAGGTGAGGTGTTACAGTTAATACATTCGGCACATTGTAAGCCGAATTCGGTTCGTGAACTTTGTAAGAAATAGCAGCCTTGTCTTCAGGCTCGAGAACCCAAGAGGCCGAGACGCGTTCCTTTCTCGGCCGCAATCGCAAGACGCAGAAGTCAGTAGCGCGACCCAACGCAGCATCATCAAATTTACTCCTCGGCCGAGCCTCGGCCGACGAGTTGGCACGCCCCGCAATCACCGAAGGACGTAGTTAGCTTAGAATATATTCGGCCTGCGCGCCACGTAGGCTTTGTAATTTCTAGGGTCAACAGATATGTAAAAAGATAACAGTACAGAAGTAGATACAACATGTACGTAGGTCACCATAAATTGAGCTACGTCCACGAAGTTAGAAGAATCTCATTGGTAATTTGTATATGTTGGGGGAAAAACTCAGTAGGGATAGACAAATATCAATGAAATTGGAAGTGATATAGTAATACGTATATTACTATAACAAAATTGTAGAGTTATAATTAATGATAAAACTCTCGTTAATTAATTGCCAATTAAATCAAGATTGAGTTAGGTATTAAACTAATCATTCTGGGAGACTGATTGATGGAAGACTAGAGCAAGATCTAACCTTTAAAATAAATAAATAAAAAATAAAAGGTATCAACTATTTTGGAGTAGAATGTCCACATGCAAGACCATCTCCAACCGAAAGGTCCAGAGGACTAGAGGGTCGAAAATAGCCCGAACACCGTCTCCAACCGAGGGCTAGGCCAGAGGACTCTGAAATCTGGGAGGGCCTCACGGAATCGGAGAGGGCTGGAAGGCTGGCTGCATGCAGCTAGACCAGGGCTGGCCATTTTTTTTTAATGTTTTGTTATTTATATCGGTTATAGCTGATAGGAATACTATTACTTAATATAAATGTATTAATGTCGGTTAACCGACAGTAATACATTTATACTAAATAATATAAATGTATTCCTATCGGTTATAACTGACAAGATTTCTTAAGAAATAATTCAAATGCAACGGCTAGCTGATTAGCCGTTGCATTTGATTTTTTTTTTTTTACAGTTTTATTATTATTTTTTATTTACAAAATTTTTCTATAACTTCTTTTTTTTTTAAATACCATTTTTTCCTATAACTTCTATTTCACAAAATTTGTTTCATTTTATTTTAAGTTGTAATTTTTAAATAATAAATTATGTTTGGCCTTATGGCCCTCTGGCCCTCGGTTGGAGACAGTTTTTTGTGACAGGGCTAAAACGAGCATTCTAGCTCTCTGACCCTCGGTTGGAGACGGAGGCAAATATGGTCATGTACTGTTCATTAAAATATTAATATCTTGGAGGATCTTGGAAGGCCAGAGGGCTAAAACGAGCCATCGGTTGGAGATGGCCTAAACTCAAAAGGCGAAGGGTCATGCACTCTATGAGAATAAGGCATATAAGTACCACAATGGAAGAGAAAGATGATATTTTTTTTAAAGTGAGACTCTTTATGGATTTTTTGTCACCTCATATTTTTCCGTAATATTTTATAATGTTAACACAAGAATTGACTTTAAACTGTAAAATGAAAGAGAGTCCATAAAAAGTGCCACTTTACAAGAATCTCCTTAGCATTTCTCTTTAAACATTTCTAATGCGTCTTCCAATTTCTCAATTAGAGATCAGAGATGATTTTGGGTGCGAGTTAAAACGTCGTTTTGGGCACATTTCTTACAAATCCATTCAATTTTCTTTTTGACAAATCCATGCACTTGAATTTGGAATATGTTCATGCGTGACATGCAGGTGTAACCACATCAGATTTCTAAAATTACCTAAAATAATCATTTTTAAAAAGACCAATTTTTTTTAATGAAAAAAAGGGACCAGCTGAGCTACCATCGTGTGTTTCCGTAGCACAAGGAATCGAACCCAAGATGAGCCCAGTGATATCCAGACCTGAAATTCGCTCTAACCACTAGACCACCGCGTGATAGTTATAAAAACAAGTGCCGACAACATATAGTTATGTCATGTTTGTTCTCAATGTTGCCAATAATTAATGTTGACATTTTTTTAACTGTTATTAGCACTCTAAAAACATCATTCTACATTCCTCACAATACTTTTTTTTTCTTCTAATTAAAGAAAGTTTAGCAGCAAAATATTATTTTTGCAGTGTCAATAACATTTTTTTTATGACAAGAATAATTTGAGATTTGACAAGTTTAACATTTAATTTATTAATTTATATTCATTTGAGCCAATTTTGTTTTCTGGTTAGTAAGAAACAAACGGTGGGAATGGCTTCAATTTGCCACTTTTCTGGGAACTTGCAGCTTTCAAGTATTCAACGCAGATAGGTACAGAAGAGTACCTCATACCTTGTTTGTTTCTGTTGTACAACCACAAAACAAGTAACACATTGACTGTACCCTTATGCAAGTTTGGTTAGTGTTCATTATATAGGAAGAAGGATTCTCACCCCTCTTTTTTTCCCTCCCTTTCCCTCTCCTCCTATGTAAACGGTCACGATTAAGCTACTTCAACATCTTATATTAAATTTTTATAGAAAGGGAAAGACGAAATAGAGAGTGAGAGGAGGGGATGTACATGGATGAACAGGATGGAAAGAGGAGGGAAGAGAATCATAATCTGTTATATAGGGGCACAAAGCATGAATGACTTAACATCGTCTCGGCGAAAATTTGCCTTCGTAGATCCATACGGAATGGACTACCAAACCCAACCATGTTTACGCTACTCCGATTACAGAGTAGAGTAGGAAAAAGTCATGAAGAAAATCCAGGAAATTGAAGAAAACCAAACAAAAAGGTGGAGTTTCGTAAGGTCCTTCTGAATCCGCAATTCGGAAACTTGTTAGCTAACCATTAAAGTTAAATACTGAACCTGGTCCTGTGCAATCTTGCAGCTCAAACACCAACAATACTACTTATATAATAACAAATATTCCTATATGTCCTTCGTACGAAGAACTTACGTCGATTCCAAGAGAAAGTACATAAGATGCAACTGAACTCAGCAGCGAAATCGAATTAACCAACGTAACTACTGAAGAAAATGAAATTGGCCATCCATATTGCTTAACATCTTACAAAACTAATGAAACTTAGAACGCTTAATAAAAAACCAGACATCGATTCACTTTCACGATCTCAATTTAGAAAAGATTTATGAAACTTAATGCCGTTTGAGATCAAAGATTGAAGAACTGCTACATCATTTTCCAAATCCCTACTCGCTTCTGAATTCTAAGGGTGCAAAAAATGAAGTTCTACATTCAGCATATCAAGATTTGGTAAGATATACCTTACTTATGAGAACCATAGCCGTTGACACCCAATTCCACTTCGCCGGCTTTCTGCATTGCCGAATTCCCCTCCTCTTTAACCTCATCATCGCCATCATCAGAATCCAAAGTAAATTGGCTCTGATTATCAAACTGATGATGTATCTCTGCGCCAAGCGGCTTATAGTGCGGAACATCACCCCGAAATCCGCCACGCTTCCTGGCAATAATCGAGTACACTCCCACAACCACAACCACCACAAAGCAAGATGGCAGTTAAACTGAAGCGTGACGATGGCTCTAGCCCTGTGATACTCAGGGTGCCCCTTGCACTTCACAGTGTAATTCCCTCTACTCTTTTCGTGCAACGAGCATCCGTGCGCCATGAAGTTGGTGTACAAAGAAATGCCCATTTGCAGAAACCACATTCCTTGCAGAACCAAGCCAACCCCACGAGCCAATTTCGGATAATTCGATTTGGGGTTGTTGAATTCAAGCATTGTAGAAAATATACACACAGCAATTGGCACAAGCAGCAGATCAAAGTACCGATTTTCGATTCCGAAAGTGTCCTTTCTTTGCATGTAAAACATTAAAAATTCTTCAACGAAAGCGAAAAGACCGACCAAACTAAGCAACGAACAAGGTAGAGTTGAATTCGTGAAATTTACCACAAGACCCGTAATCGCGTAGAGCAAGAACAGCGACGCGATCGCCAGCACTTGCAATTGCATAGCCGAGCCGACTGGGTCCGCTGAGTCGAGCGCGTCGAAGAACGAAACCAAAGAGTTCAAGATGAACAGCAACGAAACAACGGCGGCTGCCAGGTAATAAATCGACGACAACCGAGACTGGGTTTTCGCTTGCGACTGCGCCATCGGGGGACGAATCATAGGTTGAGGCGACGACGGCGGAGATGAATCTGAATCTGGGTTTTGGATTGAGGAGGAAATGGCTTCGTACGCGCCCATCAAGATCAGGCCGCCGCCTGCGGCGGCGAATGTGAGAAAACCCATGTGCTTGATCTTCGGCTTGGTGTTTTTTTTTTTTTTTTTTTTACCTTCTCAGTGCAGAGATGTTGAGGGGCATCAATTCCAACGGAGGGTTCGGGTTTCTGAGGCGGTCGGGTGGTTGGTGTTGCTGGCGTGCGTCGACATGTCGGACTCTTTCGGAATTGTTTAATCGATGATGTTGTTTCCTGCGACAATTCTCGGAGGAGTGTGACCTTTCGGTTGGACTATTTCGGTTGGACTGTTTTGCGGCAAGTCCAGTTCTGAAGTGCACTTATGGGCTTCTTGATTTGTTGTTTCTTGGCCCATTCTAAACTCAACTAATATTTGTACGTTTTGTTGAATATATGTCTCAGATGGGAAAATTAAGAAACAGCCCCTTAATCAGAAGGATTTCCATTTTTTTGGATTAGGTGTGGCATCCACTTCACGTCGAACTTCAACGATTCGAACTGTTTATTTTTAAGTCTCGATTTATATATCATCCTTACAAAAATTTAATTCAATCCGAAACTATTTGCCTATTTAATGATCAAGATAAAATTTCATTGTTTTTTATATAACAAAGTATTCGTTAATTTCTTTGAACTTAATTAGATGTCTTAAACATTTCTGATTTGGCTAATATTTTATAAGGATAATCTATGAGGTGCAATTTGAAAAATAGACGGTTCAAATCGTTAAAGTTTGATGTGGTATGAACTCCAACAATTAATCCTCATTTTTATAAAAATACGGGGATCTCTTCCCTTGAAGTCAACACCTATCAATAAGTCTTTAATCTGGGATGATACTGGTGATGTTAGGACTTAGGAGTGAACAAGTGACCCGTCTCTCTGATTATTTGACATGCTTATGGTTGTGGGTCCTGTGACTAGTGACTTGTTAGTGTTGTATAAGCTCCAAGTGGACAATTGATGTGAATTTCTCAAAAAATAAAGTGAATAAGAACGAAAAAAAAAAAAAGCCAGATGGGAAAAAACGTGGGCCGGATAAGGTTGATAGAGACATTATTCAGAATTAAAGTGATAACGGATAAGGCCCAAACCCATGCTGGGGGACCCGCTCACGGGCCAGGAAGAGGCTACAATCAAGTGCATGCAAGCTCTTCAGTCATCTTTGCAACTTTTTTTCTTAATTTTAGTTTTTTGTTATAAATAGGTAAAAGTTAGAGAGATAACATTTACTAGTGACAAGAGCGAAGCAGGTGTAAAATATCATACTGTAATTATAACACAAGGGGATGACAAATAAAAGATGGAGGGATAGATAATGATGTTATTTATCTTTCATTTTTCTCTATGTATCTTGAAAACATACGGAGAGCTCTATTTATAGAGCAACTCTAAACAAACGTATTAATTATACATAGAAATTTACAACACACACATTTTGACAATACGATCATTCTTTATTTCCCAAGTCAATATCATAGTGTGGGCATTGAAAAATCTACCAATGTTTTCAATATTACTGTGGACATTCATTAACCCACCAGTATTTTCAACATTTTTCACTTTTTTTAATTCATTTTTTAGAACATTTCTTAAGACATCTCATTTTTTTAATAAATTTGAAGATTTATTTGCATCTATATTTAGAGCTGGCAATTTCTTACACAATTAGTTATCTGATGTAAAATGAAATGCCATAAAAATAACGAGTTTTTGGTCATTAACGGGTAGTCCGTTAAAATCCATTAACATATAGGGTCATTATCGAGTCACTTGTTAAGAACTCGATAAAATACCGTTTATCAGACCTAGACATTAAGCATAACAATATTTTGCATAACTCGTTAACTCGACATGAAACGACACGACCGGTTAACATTTCGAGTCGTTATTGGGTTATCTATTAAGACTCATTTAGATAATAAGTTTAACACAACACAACCCGTTAAGATAACAAGTATAACAACAAACATGGTCAGTTTTTCAAACCTATCTATATTGTTTATGAGGAAAATAAGAAATTTTGACCAAAACAGAAACGAAGAAAAAGAGAGACCGGCGGTTATATCCGTTATCCTACACCCGCTTGCAGAGGATATGACCTCCCTGTATGGGGAGCTCTCACAACTGGTAGTTGGGGGTGGACATGGATCCTCTCCGGATCCATTGGTCCTAATCCACCAAATTTTGGTAATTCGGGCCATTGAAATTTGATCCAATGGTTAAAATTATTATAACTTTAAAATGAACTCCTGTTTGTAACCGTTTGATCAAATTTCAAAGGTCTGGATTATGGGATTTAGTGGATTAGGACCAATGGATCCGGAGGGGTTCCATGTCCGTTGGCGGTCGGTCAGCCCGTAAGATTACGGGTATAAAATGCACATGCCCGTACAGTTTTACGCTCATCTCCTTCTTTCCCTCTCTCTGCACAAAGACCACGACAAAAAACAGACAGAGTCCGATGACGACGACGACGATCAAAGGGCTTGTTCACTTCGCGTTCGCAGTCTACTTGGTTTCTCTACCGTCGGGTATCCAACTGCCTGTGGATGGGCGGGTTCTCTTGCTGAAGAAACCCGACCCGGAAAATGCTTCCGCCACTGCTCGCTGGTTGGTCGCTCAGAATTCCTGGGGCGTCTTGAAGTAAGAATCTCTTTACTTTCTTGTAATTTCGTGTTGTTTCTGTTGGTTTTTTTTTACTTTTTACTGTCGTGGGAAGATTGCTTTCGGTTAATTTGGGGGGTTTTTGGCTATGATTATGTTTAATGATTAGAGAACCAAATTAGTGTGATTTTAATTTGGTTCTTATTGGTCAAATTGGAGATCTGATTTCGAAGCTCGTGTGTTTGTGATGAAATTCAAACATGTTTGGATGTTGTAGAATCTTTACTTGCTTGTAAATTGGTTGTTAGAAAGTGCTTTTAGCGACAGTAAGAGTTAAACGTGCTTCTGGTTACGGAAGCACTTGTTGGGGTCGTTAATGATTACTTATGTAAGAAGAACTTTAGTTCATAAGTGTTTATAAACTCGTTAGAATTCAGTTTAAAATGACCGAAAGCCAGAAATGTTTTTGAGCTCCAAAAGTAGTTTCTGGGTTCCAGTCATGTGATTCTTGTAGGAAGCATTTCAAGTGCTTTTGCAGGATTCACATGCATTTTTCCTAAAGATTGGTTCTAAAAACATTTTCATAAAAAACGCTTTCTGCTATTTTAAAAGCAGTTCCAAACGAGCCCTATGTTAGAAGTGTTTTCATTAGAAAGTAGTTGATATTTTCATTAAAATCCCAAGTGCTCCTTGAGAAATATCAACTTAGTTTTTGTAATCAATATTATTTGTGTTTGGAAGCTTAGACATTTGATGCTTACTTGTGATTTTTGTTTCCTTCACAGTACTATCTCAAGTGAATTGGAAGGAGCACCCTTCGGGTAAGACTTCTTTTTTTTTGTTATATATATTACCGCGTTAGATATACTACTGAATTCTAGTATTTATGTCTAGTGTCCGCCCTCGTAAGTACAAGTTTAGGGAAAAGCAAAATGTTTTGCAGGGTTCGTTCGTGGCAAGACATACACTCCTAATGTTTAGTTTCCTTTCTTTGTTTAGTACTTGTGCCCTATAGGAAGAACAAGTTTCCAGTAAGATGAAAATTACCACCGGTAGGACAGTGTGTGCGTAATGCATAATGCAGCTCTCTTCGCTCTGTGATTCTCGTTTGAATATATCCATTTGTTATGCCTTTCCTCCCAATCATGCTCTATGTTTGCCTCAAACTCTTGCATCGATCTCAAGTGGTTAATGAAACCTATACGCCACTACAACGCCTATGAAGTCTCTCGGATAAAGTAATTTGAAAATATGATGCAGGAATGTGGTTTCATTTAGCGATGGAGAACCTGGAAAAGGCAGTGGTATCCCTTACTTCTACTTGACAACTCTTGATCCGACTGCAAGAAATGCACTGAAAGATCCAAGAGCTTCGTTGACAATTAGCGAGCATCCTGTTGGAACCTGTGGCAAGACGGACCCAGAGAATCCCACTTGTGCAAAGCTTACACTTAACGGGAAGGTGAGTTGCATCGGAGAATTTATTTATCATCCATACTATTCCGAGGAGGAGGATAAATCGCATTAATTATCGCTAACCTGGGATGCATGATATTTTTTTCAGCTGAAGCTTGCGGATTCCAAAGAAACAGAATTTGCTATAAGTGCCTTGTTCACAAAGCATCCGGAGATGAAGGGTAATACTAAATACACAAATATCACACACCACCTGCAGTTCTTTCGAAATTTCAGTTTTTCGTTTCATCTCTTGCTCAGCTAATTAAGTGGTTTTTGTTTTTGCTGGATGGTTAACAGACTGGCCCAAGGGTCACAACTTCCAGTTCTTCAAATTAGACATCGAGCATATCTTTCTGATCGATTGGTTTGGCGGTCCAAAACCTCTCACGGTCGATCAGTACCTTCATCCCAAAACGTGAGTGTTAAAGCATATCTCGTTAACAATAGCTAATGTTTGCTTTTCGACATACTGAAAACAAATCTCTGCAATCTACAGGACAGAGAACGTCTGGATTCGAGGATTACTCGTGATCTAAATGTAATTCCTCCTGTATGTTTATGAGCTGGATGGATCTGCATTCGAATTGTGCATAATAACTCTGTTGTAAATCACAGGAGACAATTGTAATTATATATAATCATCCATGTAAGTTCTGTAAATCGTTCACGCAAATGCGCATTCCTAAATAATGCAGGGGTATTTTCGTTATATAAATAGTGTTTTTTAATCATTAATTCTTCTTGTACAGTTTTGTTTTTTTTTTTTAATTAGTACCTCACAATGGATTAGTAATAATATTATTCAATAAGTTATTTATTAAATATTATTTTTTCTATTTTTAAACACGTTCAAAATATCTTAAGAGGCGTATAATGATAGTTATAAAAATGGTATTTCACATGCACATAATAATACATTTAAAACGTGTAAGTTGCATTCAAAAAATGTCATTTGCACGCGCTCATCGATTATAGAAAAGGTTTTTCGCACGTGCATAATAATACATTTAAAACGTGTAAGTCGCGCGTAACATGTCGTGATTCAAAAAATGCTGAAGGCTAGTTTCTAATTAAACGAATGATCTCTCTTTTAGAAAATCCTAGCTATTCTTACCGAAATATCTGTCAATCTCACTGGCGATTACTCAAATAAGCATGAAACATATGTTTGTGCAATCGTCCATATGTTAGATAGTAAATGAAATTATTGGAATAATTGTTGATATGGCTTTGATTTAGGGAGAAATTTTGCAATGCTGAAATATGACCTAATATACCAAGTATCATAATACAATTGGTTGGAAACTTAAAACAAAAAAAATTTCAATCAATTATATTTTTATTGTTAATGTATCGGACCGTATTACCTTCAGACTGAAAAATCTATTGGATTATTTTTGGATTTTAATCAATCATGATCTCGATTGCAGATTCATTCTTTTTCCATCGGACGGTCTCAATTCTTTCCCTTTCGCGGGATTTCACGCGCGAGTCACGTGATTTGAGGATAGAGATAGATAGTCGTTAACAATTGGCTCGAAAACGTTCACCCGCTTGAAACTTGATGCCCTGCAGCCGTCGGAGAGCTGAGCAATGAAATGTCGCCGCCGATGAGTCTCTCTGCAACTCACCTTACCACTTGTCGCTTCCCGCCAAAAACCATAACCGACCACCCATCACTCTCTCCCTTCTTTTCCTTTCCCAGAACCCTCCCCTCCCAAAATCCTAAATCCTCTAAATTCACAATTCGGAGCTCCGCCGCCGACACCAAAACACTTGCGCCCAAGTCTGCCATTCAGAGAATCGCCGAGAAGCTCCGAAGCCTCGGGTTCACCGAGAGCACCCAAAATCCCGACCGGCAACCCGATAAGAAGTCCGCCGGCGAAATCTTTGTTCCGATTCCGGAGAAATTGCCCAAGTACCGGGTCGGGCACACGCTCGATGCAAGCTGGAGCACGCCCGAGAACCCGGTCCCAGAACCGGGCACCGGCGGAGCGATTGCGAGGTTTCATGAGTTGAGGCGGGAGGTGAAGAAGCAGAAGGAATTAGAGAGGGAGGAGAGGAAGGGGAAGGGGGAGGGGAGGGTTCCGACATTGGCGGAGCTGAGCTTGGGGAAGGGTGAGTTGAGGCGGCTGACGACGGTTGGGCTTGGGCTGAGGAAGAAGCTGAAGATTGGGAAGGCTGGGATTACTGAAGGGATTGTGAATGGGATTCACGAGAACTGGCGGCGGTCGGAGGTTGTGAAGATTGTGTGTGAGGATTTGTGTAGGTTGAACATGAAGAGGACTCATGACTTGTTGGAGGTTAGGCTTCAATTTTCACTAGTTATTTGAATCAATCAATGTTTTTGTTTTTGACTTGTGCAATGATTGTTTATACTCGCTATCGATTTGAGTCACTTGACGTTGCCCATTTGGGACTGCTTGCTCTTCCTGGTCATAAGTGCTTTTACTAGAAGTGCTTTAATTAGAAACACTTTCTTGGAAAGGCACTTCGTAGTGCTTTCAAAGGAGTGCTTTCCCAGAAGCACTTTCTATGACCCATAAACACTTTTACGTTTTTTGACTGGCGCTTTTGGTGAAATTATTTTTGGAACCAATCTTTAGTAAAATGCAAGTGAATCCTGTAAAAGCACTTGAAGTTGCAAAAAGCACTTCAAGTAATTTTTGAACCCAAAAACATTTTCTCTAAAAGCGGATTTAGTTATTTTAAAATCACTTCCAAATGAACGCATAATCTAGTACAAAAGCAACACTCTGGTTGGATTAACAGGTTGGTAATATCCTTTGTCCTGACATTCTCAGAGAAAAACTGGAGGGCTGGTTGTCTGGAGGGCTGGAAGTAAGATAATTTTGTATAGGGGGGTGAACTATAAGTATCCATACTTTTTGCGTGACAATGTTCGCAAAGATTCAATGAGTGAGGCTAACTCTATTGCACTACCTGATACACACATCAATGATGGAGGAAATGAGAGTGGTACATCCAGCAAAAATGATGTAAACTCTGCTATAGTACCAAGTACAAGCTATGAACGAGCTCAACCAGCGTTAGTACAAGGTGTTGGTTTGCCAGGTAGAGTTCGGTTTCAACTTCCAGGCGAGGCACAACTTTCAGAAGAAAATGACAGCATGTTAGAGGGACTGGGGCCGCGGTTTACTGATTGGTGGGGTTGTGAACCTCTTCCCATTGATGCTGACCTTCTACCAGCCATTGTTCCTGGATACAGGAAACCTTTCCGCCTTCTTCCCTATGGTCTGAACTCTAAACTAACAGATGATGAAATGACCACAATAAGAAGACTCGGTCGACCCTTACCATGTCATTTTGCATTGGGTGAGTTTGGTTTATGCTTTTATAACTCTTGTTTTCTGGCCAGTGTTTATTTACTATAATTTTTTAATTTTTTTCTTGTTTACAGGCAGAAACAGAAATCTTCAGGGTTTGGCCGCTTCCATTGTCAAACTCTGGGAAAAATGTGAGATTGCCAAAATAGCTGTTAAAAGAGGGGTACAGAACACTAACAGCGAGATGATGGCTGAAGAGCTAAAGGTTGAAGATAATCTAGGAATTTCTCTTCAGTCTTACCTTTCTATTATAACTAAAATAAACTGCTTGTCCAGTCGATTTACATTTAAATTGATTTGGATAGGGACTTCTTCTTTAATTATCACACATTCATGTTGCAAGACTTTGTGACGATTGCTACTTTTGATTAAATGTACTCTGTTGCAGAGGCTGACTGGAGGAACTCTGCTTGCTCGGGACAGGGAATTTATAGTTTTGTATAGGGGAAAGGATTTTCTGCCACCTGCAGTTTCATCTGCAATAGAAGAACGGAGGAGGCATGCAATACGTGTAGAGCGTAGTACCTCAGTTCCAACTAGACAGGATCTTGAACCCAGGACTGAGCCAGAAAATAAACATGGCTGGATCGATGATCATAAAATGGGGCTTCCATCCGCAAGAAAGCTAAAGTCTACTGAGGCAGCTGTCGATAGGACCAGCATTAAATTGTCCATGGTATGGTTTCATTGCGATGCTTCAGTTAGGTGAATTCTCTGCTTTGGCTGTTTTGTGTGTTACAAATGGCATATCTGTAATCAACAGGCTTTAGAAAAGAGAGTAAAGGCAGAAAAACTTCTAGCAGATCTGGAGAACGCAGCGACCCCCCAACAACCAGAAATAGATAAAGAAGGTATTACTAAAGAAGAAAGATATATGCTAAGGAAGGTTGGCTTGAGAATGAAGCCTTTCCTACTGATGGGTGAGTTGCCATCTACTCTCTCTTGAACTCACTAGTTGATACTTGTTACCTTATTATTTTGTTCTTTTGAATTAAATCATAGGTCATAATGGAAATCTATCTAAATATCTAGTTCCTTTAGAAGTGGTTTTAACAAGTCTTATATTTTAATGCTCAGGTAGGCGAGGAGTATTTGATGGAACAATTGAAAACATGCATCTTCATTGGAAGTATAGGGAACTCGTTAAGATAATATCTAATGAGAAAAGTATCGAAACTGTTCACCAAGTAGCACAAACCTTAGAGGCAGAAAGTGGTGGGATACTAGTGGCAGTGGAGAGAGTGAGTAAGGGTTATGCAATTATTGTGTATCGCGGAAAAAATTATAGCAGGCCTGCTTCTTTGAGACCTCAGACACTTCTGACTAAAAGAGAAGCAATGAAACGTTCTATTGAGGCACAGCGTCGTGAGGTAAAATTGGATTTTCTATCTGCTCCCGTGCATTTAAGCTATTTGTCATTACCAACCAGCATCCTGCGACCCAAAACGCTGCATTTGGAAAAGGAATCCGCCTAGTTCAAAGAGACTGGATTAATGACATAGTGATCTTATTCCATCATTTACTATCAAGTACTTTTAACGTACAAAGTCATCTCCCCTGAAACCTGATGATAAAGGTGCTTTTGGTTGGAAATTTGTTAATAAAGTACACACCTAGTTTCACTGCTATGGAATCCCTTATTCAAGGATCTTGGCTCATTCTACTTTGTTTATTTTATTTTATTTATAACTAAACTAATTTGTCTATTTTCCGTTTTAAAATTTCGCCATTGTCATATCTACTTCATCATCTGATTCCTTTTTGTTTGTTTCCTGCTTTGACATGCAGTCTTTGAAACTTCATGTTTTAAAGCTTAACGAAAATATAGCTGAATTAAAGCTTCAGTTGGTGAGTTGTCCTGGGTATTTATAACTCTGTTTTATCAGTTTCTATCAAAATTCTATGTCCTTTGTTCCCGTTCAAAGTGAGGCAAATTGTGCTATGTTTTTCTTGAAATAGGATGAAGACAAGGAATCAGACAATACGCACTCGGTTAATGAATCAAGAACTCAATTGGTGAGCTATCTCATGTTTATATACTTCTATGGGCTTCAAACCAAATTAAGTAATAAACTGAGCTAAAGTTAATAGTTTTGAATAGGCAAACGTTGTAAAGTCCGAATAACGTTTGAGATCAGATATTGAATTTACTTTGGTTCTCTCTCATTCTATAAAACCTGCTTGTCATGAAGTGAATGTCAATCTAAATAGTAAAGACTACGCTAATTTGTCAGATGTTTTCAGTCTATTTAAATATTTACTACCTCCTTAGTACCTTCTTCCGAAGTATGGTCTGAAATAGTGCATTTTGTATCATTCAAGGCTAGAGACAAACAAGAAGCTCATGTGATTCCCATAAGTTTGAATGATGGAGTGGCACCTGTTGTGAACGGTCAATTAGCCACGCAACAAGACAATATGACGAGTTTCTCTCCGACCTGTGACGAGGATGAATCTGGGAGAGTTGAGCCAGGATCTTCAAATGAATCAGTTACAAATGAAGAGGATGAAACTAGTACAGTTGAGACAGGATCTTCAAATGAACCAGTTACATATGAAAGTCGTGCAAGTTCGCTCAAGGATATAAATGGAGAAGTTGAAGGCTTCCCATCTACGTGTTGTCCTGAAGATGTTCTGGTAATATCTACATCTATGCATGTTTATATTTGGTACCTCCTTATTATCTTCTGCAGCTTGGAAGAGCGGTATCTGAAACAGTGTACATTGTATTTGTTAAGGCTAGAAACAAACAAGAAGGTCATGCTACTCCCATGAAATTGGAAGATAGAACGGGCACTGTAGTAAATGGTCAAGTAGCCACACAGCAGGATAAAGTCCTTACTTTCTCTTCGATCTGGGGTGAGGATGAAAATGGTAAAGCTGAGCCACCCGTCTCTAAATCTTTCTCGGTAAATATCAATTATCATGAATTTCTATGCATGTTTATATTCTAGGTTGGAAACTTCTTATGTTGTATGATTTATGTGGTTTCAGACAAACCGTTTGAGCAGTTCAGCGACTGTGGTCAAACATCGTCGTGATAATGAGGCCAGGGACTCATCACGCAGACCTGGCAATAGTGAATCAGAACCATCAGTCCCAGTACTGGTAAGAAAGAATTTTAATGAGAGGCCCTCAAAGGCGGTTCATCTTTCCAACAATGAGAGGCTTCTTCTGCGAAAACAAGCCCTCAAGATGAAAAACCGCCCTGTGATAGCAGTTGGTAATTTTATAACCAATTTATGTTTTCCGGTTTACCTCTTCGTGTTCATCTATAATTTGCTAAAACGGTTGTTTACTTGGTAAGAAACTTTAAGTACTTAGCTTCTCTTATCACCTTTTAGGAAGGAGCAACATTGTAACTGGTGTTGCTAAAACAATCAAGGCACACTTTGAGAAGCACCCTCTTGCCATAGTGAACGTCAAAGGCAGAGCAAAAGGAACTTCGGTCAGGGAAGTTGTTTTCAAACTGGAGGTGTGCACGCCCAAGTTCCTCCTATTTCTCTTATCACCCTCGTTTTTCTTTGCTTACATTATAAATTGCTGATCTCTCTCTTTTTGCCTCTCTCATAGCAAGCAACGGGTGCGGTTTTAGTCTCCCAGGAGCCTAGCAAAGTTATACTTTACCGGGGCTGGGGCGCAGGAGACAATCCTCGCCGTAATGGAAGTAACACAGGGAAAATTGCTTCTTCTCAGGGTGCCGTGTCTCCCGAACTCCTGGCGGCAATAAGACTCGAGTGCGGTTTTAAACCTCGCGAGGGCGAAGATGCAGCTGCTTAGGTTGGAATCTTAGCTTGTGCCAGAAGGTACCGCTGGATCATCTATCCCTCGATCATTGCCAATGGTAGAAAGCTTGCACCTACACACACCGTCTACGTAGCAATCACCGAAGCCCATGATCGTCTTAAGAGCGTGAGTAGACTCCGAAACTCCTCGGTTCTTACCTCTTTTGGCATCTCAAATTCGAGGAATTGTGGAGATGATAACTTTGGAATGGTTAACAACCTCCGTACATAGATTGATTTAGTGCTGCAAGAAGAGAAATGCAGGCATTCTGTCGACACTTGACATCCAATGACCGGAAGTTTAACGCTGGAAGTCCAGAGAGCTGGTTGAGTTGAGGTTCTGATTAGGTTTAGTCAAATTGTAAGCTCAGAAGCCATCCTCTGTATCTGTGAATTTTCGAAACATATATAAACATTCATCAAATTTTGATTTTTTTTTTTAGGAATAAAGAGAAAAGAAAAAAGGTTAAAAGTAAATGTATGAAATGATCTTGTGTGTACATTGTAATAGTGTTGACTCTAAAAATTACCAAGTCTACGTAGAGTGCAGGTCGAGTAAGCTAATTATTTTCTTTTTGTGCCAACTCGCAACCGAGCTAGGTTGGGAGAGTAAAATAGAGTTGGTGGTGGTGTCGAATGCGCTGTTGACTTTTGTATTTGAACGATTATAGCTGAGAAAGGAACACATTATGATCTTGGGTTCTAGAACTTGAAAAACTTTGCATAAAACAGGGACGCCAGGGTTGCGATGTTCGCATCTTATATCGCCATATAGGAGAATGACGTTGCATTACTAACCCAAGACGTTACTCGTATCGAACAAATTTTTGTCGCACGTGTAAGTCATTTTCTCGATTTCAGCTTGTGTGGAACACAGGAGCCTTTAGAGAATGACACGACATTGCAAGCCCCATCCGGCATTGCCGAAGCATGCGTTTTGTAATTGGACAAGGATTGTTTGCCCTTTACTTCCGGTGTTCTCTTCATGCCCTTCTGTTTGTATGGTCACAGTTAAATCACGTCAACATTTTATATTACTATTCATTTTTATCTTATTATATCTATAAAAAAATAATATAAAATGTTAACGTGATTTAACCTTATCCACACAAAACAGAAAAACACGAAGAGGGCATCAAAAATGAAGGGCAGACAATCTTGTCCTTTGTAACTTTGTTTCTCTGTCGACGTTGAATAAATAATGTTACGTAGCCAAAGTCAAAATTACGTGGTTTCAAATGGTCCACCCGTCCGTCCGGAGGATGAGGAAAGAGGATAATAATCAAATATTAGTGATATTTTCATCCAACTTTTGCTTTTTAGCTTTTGGATAAGCCTAGGCTAATATGACATCCAGGTGACCCTACTCGGATCCGAATCCAACGGTGGGAAGCAGAGATTCCAGTTCCAATTCCATTTTCCTTTAATTTCTCTTGTACAACCATAATTTGTACCCAAAAAAACGAAGGCTTTTTAGCTAAAATGACTGGGAGATTAACATCATTTTTTTACCTTGGTCCTTGAGATTTCAAATCGATGGAATTAGTTCTTAAGTTTGTTTACCCTCAATTATTTTGGTCATTTCATGAAAAATTTAAGCTAAATAAGCAAAATGACAAAAATGCCCCCAAATTTTATCAAAATTATTTTTGCCCATTGTTTATTAAATTGAGGATATTTTTATTATTTTGATTCTTATTCAACAGAGATTTTCTACATAATGACTAAAATAATTGACGGTGGACAAACTCATGGACCACTTCTATCAATTTCAAATCTTAAGGACCAAAGTGATGAGTTATGACAATCTCAGAGACTATTTTGACTAAAATATCGAAAACAAAAAAAATATCCTCTCTCAGTACTGGTTTGATAATTATTTAGTTTTTTATTTTTATTTTGTGTTAGATTGGAGGAGGGGATGAGGTATAAGAGTGGAGGAATAATGGTGGAAGATAGATGTAGAAGCAAAAAAAAGTAAAAACAAAATAGTTATCGAATGGTCTCTAAGTATTTCGAAAAATTCAATTGCTAATAAGGAAGATAAATTATTAGACGTCATTTGATAATCATTTTGTTTTTATTTAATTTTTAATAAAAAAATTCATTTGATTACTATTTTTAGTTTCAATTTATTAAAAAGTGAAAATAAAAAATTACACCAAAAAAGTTCAAACGAAGACTAAAAGTTAAAAATTAAAGGCTTGTTTTATTAATCTCTCACATTTTGTTGACTACACCCACATACTTAATACATCTCACATTTACTTCTTAAATTAAATTTTTTCTTAAGACACCCCACGTATTTTCCAATACTACCCTCACACCTCACATCTCACACACCCCACAATCATCAACTAATTAATCACACATCAAACTCTTCATCTCTTTCAAACAAAAGAATAATTCACATTTCAAAGACAAGAAAGATGAATTAAATTGTAGTATAAAATCTCCATCTTGCTGTTTGATTTATACACATCCGTCAAATTTTCTTGAACAATCACGTTGGATTCTAAGAAGCATGATGGACAAATAGTAGGAATGGTTCTTATAAGGTCATGTCTCAATTCCAACCGGCCAAAAAACATTGAATTTCTTCATCATCAAACAGCCACAAGAATATTAAATTTAATTACATCTTAAAATTTTACAACATTCTTCAGTTTTCTTCCTATTTCTTGGATTCCAATTAGAGCAGAACTTTGCAAAAAGTCAAAATTTTATTCTATTATTTAAATAATTTCTTGAATATGAAAACCAACGTATGAAAGAGGAGCAAAACTCGATTTTTTGTTCCGTTCATCAAAAGATATTTTTTCATCAACGTGTTTGTGTTTTTAGGGTTTTGTTCTACAATTGAGAGTAAGAGTAGCTATGAGGGCTCGAATAGTCATTTCATATTAGAGTTACAAGTTGTTTAGTATTACATTTTTAAATGAGGTGTATTCAACAACATGTGAGGTGTTAATAAAAAAACCCAAAATTAAATAAGTTATCAAATAAGCCCAAACCAAAGGAAAAGAATGACCGTTCATCGTACATCGTATGGTTAGAAATTATATGAAATTTAAAATTTAAAATTAAATATAAATAGTACATAACAAAAACTGATCGTACGATGTATGATAAATGATCACGATCACGGAATTTCTGGAATCCGCCGGATCATTTTCCCAAACTAAAGAGATGAAAATGTGGGTTTTGTTTGACACGTAAGCGCCTTGAATTCAGATGAAGAGTAACTAGGGTTTGGCTTGATGAATGGATGTCATCATCACTCACACACTCTCCTACTCTCTCTCTCTCTCTCTAAGCATATGTGTCAGAAGAGAAAGAGAAGGGCACAAGAAACCTAGACATTTTCTTTGCCTCTCCTTCAACGCCAGAAGCCAAACAGCAATCATCATGTCCTCTCCTTACCTTCTTTATCGCCATCATTGCTCCCACACCATCCCCTCCTGCAACTTCACCACCTCCTTCAACCACCCCAAGACCAAAGCATCATCATCATTGTCTTTGAAGTTACCACCAAGAAAAAAGAAGAAGAAACAGAAGAAGTGACGACCCAAAACGAAAAGAAAACTTTCTCATCATGATTTCTAGCGGCCGGCTGAAACCCTAGCTCAGCTCAGCTATAGCTATCACCTTTCTTACTCCTTGGTGGTGAGAGAAAGTGAAGAGTCTGATGAGACTCTCTCCTCTTCTTACCTGTATTTCAAAGCGTTTGTGTAAGTCTTTGTGCTTTTGGGGAATCAAGCATCTTGGTCCGACGACGACGATTTGCTATCAAAGCAAGCAAATCTCGAGTTTTCAAGTTATTGTTTCTTTACGTACTTTATTTGTGAAGAACTTTAGATCTTGTGTATTAGTAGGGATTTCTGTTCTGGTTTTGTTTGTTAGGTTATCAAGAGAGTACTCACTATTTTGGAAAAAAAATCTTCGCTCTCTCTCTGTCTCTCCCCCCCCCCCTCTCTCTCTCTCCCTCTGTGTGTACGAATTATTTTGCTTAAATGATCAGAATTATTATCTGTGCAACTTAATACTAGCTTAAGCTTGAAGAAGTATGTGGATCAATTTAATTTATTATATATGGTTCAAATTTTATCATGCATGGAATGCAAGTATATAATTAATATATATGTACTGATGAAATAATTGATTTATTTATGTTAATTAATCAGGTAACTTAATTGCTTGAAACTTGACTCTTGTCCAGTTAGATCTTTATTAGGGTTTGCACTGAGGGATTTTCATATTTGAACAAACAGATTAAGTTTAATCCACTATCTTTCACCAAATATACATGATACGGTTTGAAGATTAAGGCAAATACCATATCTTGTTATGTGGCTTTGTGGTTTTGATGTTCCGGGAATACTGAATAATCTCTTGTTTGATATTTCTCATATTTGTTCATTTTGTTTGTGGGATATTATTCATTTCATGACTACACGTGATAAATATAGAAAGGTGTTATTCACCCGTATATTTTTACTTCTCACACGTCTTTGTTAATTTTTTTGTCATTTTTCTTCTTCAATTTATTTGATTTGATGGTAAAAAATTGAGAGAGTGAGTCTTAAAATGGGTGTGTAGATAATACTCTCCTAAATAAAGAGGCAGCAAGAAGCTATACTAGGGAATGAGGAGTAATTAACTAATACACTTGTATAATATGTACTGGTTTTGCAAAATCCAAGTAATATTTTTTTATCTGAAAATTGAAATTAATTAATGAAATGTATTTGCTTGTGCTCTAGGTAGCTACTAAGTTCATCCCTTAAGCAGCGAATCTCATCTGTCCAGGTTGTGCAGTAAGTAAATCTTGTTCTTCATTCGACCGTTTTGAAATGAATATTGTTGAATGTTGGGTACAATTTGTCTGGATAGGATTTGGTTAAGTTGGCTTGCCGTAGGCTTCATGTCTATGTTTATCCTGCACTTGAGGACCTTATTAGTATAACTAATAAATTTGAATCTTGTCTATAATACGCTGAAGGTCCTAAGCTCGGATAAAGGAGGAGGGGAGGTCGTTATGTAGTCGATAGTCGGTACTTCATTTTCAGGTCGAATTCCTATAAATACATATTACCTTAAGTTTACAAAATATAGACACAGAGATGAAAGGGAAGAAAGTACTCTATCTACAGGGCTGCTTCTCTGGGTTCTCTCAAGAATAATTTATCCATGAAATGATGCCTTGCCCTAGTTAGGTTCTATTCCCAAGGGATAGGTACTCATTCCTTAGTGTTCCTTGGTGAGTGATTGAGTGATTGCTCACTATTTGGCTGGAAAAGGCGGTCTGGAAGCTTCCTCTCTCCCATCAAGCAAGACAAGATCACCACTTCTCTCATTAATGAACTTCCTTGAATTCTTCCTTAGCTATAGTGATGGGGGCAACACTTTTTCTGGCCTTGTTTGATAGCCTGAACTAGACAATTACGACTATTTGAACTAAAATAATTAGTGTCATGTGTTCATGTGTGATCTCTTAATAATACAAATTAAGAAAACTCGACTCGTTAAATTGGGCAACAACATCACATTTTAGGGAAAAACAAGTCCCAAACTCGCATGTAGATAGTCTTAGTATTATGTAGATGTGGTTGATGCATCTCTCTTGTATACTGTTTGGATGAGAATTGAAGTAATCTACATTGAGACTAATACACGAGTACCTCTCCTGTTAATTTAGTGATAGTTCTCTTTCCAATATCAAAAATTTGATGTAGCAAATTCAATTCAGATGAATTATTATTATTATTATTATTATTATTATTATTATCATTTAGGGTAGGTTTTTACGCGTTACTCACCCGTCCACCATTGAAAACATCACTTTCCATCCAACTTGCATGCGTGAAGCATTCCTCAGCGTTCATCTTGAACTAGGATCAAACTCTTCACGAGATTCATAGTTGCATTACTTATAGCTTATATCCATACAACTTCATATTCCAAGGCATAACTTATATCCATACAACTTCATATTCGCCTGGAGTTCGCTCCAAAAAATATAGTCATCCTACCTAGGGATGGGCAACGGTTATGACAGGCAGGTAACCGCGATTATATACCCATAACCATTCATGTTCATACCCGCATAACCGTTTACCCGTTGGGTAATTGCATAAACGGTTATACCCATACCCATAACCGTATATAAACGGTTAACCATACTCATAACCATTTACCCGCTATAACTGCCACCTCCAGGCTTTGGAAGATCGGTTAGTACTCCCTTATAAGCATTTTCAGAAGATGAAACATGATTTGTAAACGCACAAAAACCATTTCATTCCCCGTTCCTAATAGCATCAATGGCAACTGAAACATGATTTAAGAAAACCATTTGATTTCATTAGTCCAAACACACAATAATCATGTGCGCATCGATTATTTTGTAAATGGATACCCGTTATAACCGCGGAAAATTCAAAGCTTCAAAATTTTACATATATTAAATTAAATGGGTAAATGGATACCCGTTATAACCGCGTAATACCTATAACCGATGGATACCCGTTATAACCGCCGATTTAAATTTCACAGATAAACAGTTATACCCATAACCATTTGTTGGTCTAAACAGTTATCCATAACCGTAACCTTGAATTTTAAATGGACGGGTAACCGCGATTACCCAAACCCATGAGTATCTTGCCCATCCCCAATCCTACACCTCGCGATTTAGGGACTGTCTTTTAGGTTAAAATTGAATTATATCCAGATATAAATGGGCTGAGCTCATAACTAACCCAGAAAAGAAAGGCCCAAGGCCTTATAACAAGGAAGGAAGGGTTCGGAAGGAAGGGGGTTAGATTCGTTGGTAGAGCGGCGAGCGGACCGAGTGGTTGGTGTGTTTCCTTAACCGATATTCACAACGTGTGGCGGGCAAATGCTTTTCCTTCCCCAACTTTATTAAATGCCAATTACCAAATTAAATCATAAAATCCCCAGTTCCAAAATTAAATTCCTCAAAAATTATATAAACGAGCGGATCATTACCCAGAAATTATAATTTAATTTCACAGCGGTCCACTCCACACTCTCATCAGTCTCAGAGGCCATGACTCTGCAACTCCAAGCTCTGTCGTTCGGCGCCAGCATTGCGTCCTTCGTTTCTCCTCTCAACCGCTCCACGCGCCGCCCTGTAATCATAGCCAATGGTTAGCAATTCTCCAACTTCTTAATCTTCTTCTTTTTTTTTTATTCAAATTTTTTATTTTTTGAGTTTATAATTATTGAGCTTTCAGATTTATAGCACCAGCTGAACGTTCTTAGATTATATGCGATTCCAAATTGAAAAAGTTTAAACTTGCTTGATTAGAAGACTCGAACTCTGTGGGAGCATTGGGATTTCATTAATTTGTTGTTTGATTAAAAAAAAAAATTAAACTTGCTTGATTAATATACATTTTTAGCTTGAATTAGAATTAGAATTTGGGATTTCATAATTTTGTTATTTGATTGCAAAGATGGTGAATTTTTGACATTTTTGAGCTTCGGTCAGAATTTTGCTCGTGAATATTGCACTAATGGATACTTTAAATTTTGAATGTTTCTGCCTTCTGGCAGCGGAGCCGTCAGATAAGTCGGTTGAAATCATGAGGAAGTTCTCTGAGCAGTATGCTCGCAAGTCCGGAACATATTTCTGCGTCGATAAGGGAGTTACTTCTGTTGTTATCAAGGTGTGGATTAACTTACTTATGTTGTATGCTTAATTAGAACTGTCTTAAGTATTTTCGTTATCATTGTATACTGGAAGGACTCAAATCGACTTCAAAGCCGATTACTTTATGAGCTTCCGGCCTTCCACCAGGGGTTGGAACAGTAAAGAACATGTACCCCTGACCCCCTAGGTCCTATAGACTATGAAACACCTTTGAATTGTTCTGTTAAATCGACCCCTATATGCGTAGTTCTTTGATTCAGTATCTTGCTGCTGTAGTTCTTCGTCTTTTGCATCACAATTCACTAGAAAATTATTTGGGGTAAAAAGGTCCCTTACAAATGGATATGGCATCCTGGGATTATATATACTTGAATCCTTCATTATCGTAATTCGGTTGTCTAAACTGTATTTGTTCGATAGTATATGTGAAGGAAACTCATCCTGGAATCTCAACAGGGATTGGCAGACCATAAAGATTCATTGGGAGCTCCGCTCTGCCCTTGTCGGTAAGCATCTGTTCTTTGGTATTTTTTTCTTGACTAGGAGTCTATGGTGTTCTTACTTTGCCCTCTGCCTCAAACACCTTACCAGTGTCAAAGTCGATTCATGTTCATTTTCATGTCATGTCATGCTTTCCAAGTCTGAATCTATTGTGTTGCAGGCATTATGATGATAAACCTGCCGAGGCAGGCCAAGGCTTTTGGAACTGCCCATGTGTTCCTATGAGAGAGAGGTAGATATATTTCAGTATTTTGTGAAATTAGTATACGAACCAGTTTTTCTCTACTTTTTCATTCCGTTAGATTATAGATTTGTATACCTAATATGGAAACGAAGTGTCAAAAGCTTTGAATTACTAGAATATGATTGGGATATATTGGTAAATCTTTGTGGGCAAAAGATTTTTGGTACTCAGCCAGAAATCAAAGATAAGTAGGCTTATTGTTATATTTGCTAGCTAGCTAAAAACATAATAAGGAACAAAAGCTACTTAGAAGTTTCTGGTGAAACGCCGATAGTTCTTGCAAATTTCAACCAGATGGCCGTTGGAATACCAAAACCAAAAATGTATTCCTTGCTGTTGAGGTTCTTGTGTTTATGTTTTCCTAATCTCCAGCTTTAACTCTCAACATTTGGATTCAAGCGACCGTTACATGAAAACAATGTCTGTATATGTATACCTGGTTCTTATGAAAACTGTGAATCTGTGTTGGCAGGAAGGAATGCCACTGCATGCTCTTTCTCACTCCGGACAATGATTTTGCCGGACCGGAACAGGTACTTCATACATCATTCTTTGAGAAAATCTTACGTAGTCCGTTCGTCTGTTACGGTTTTAATAACCTAATTGCGTACCTTCACAACTGTTGTACAATGCAGGCAATCTCCCTGGAAGAGATCAAAGAATCAACAGCAAACATGTAATAAGCTTTAGTGCGTATGAACAAGTATGTGTAAACAGTCCACTTCTGTATTTGTAAAAGAAAAATGAAAAAAAGCTCATATTTTGAATCTCTCCTTCATTTCCTTTTACGTACCTCCGTTTATTTTTGTCTTTTGACGTTACTTTCATTTACTCAATCTAGAGGTCAAAAATTAATCCGGTATGTGTAGAGAGAGAAGAAGTGTGCGGAAATTACTTCTCTTTTCCGGTGATGTACTAATCCTTTTATGCAATTATTCAAGAATTATGGTGCAGCCCCTGGACTTTGCCATATTCTCATGAACCCCAACATTCTTTTTCTTGTAATTTAAATTTAACTGATCTCCTTATCCGCAAACCCAAATGAATCTTTGCCACCTGGCTTTTGTGCTCTAAAGTCCAAACGAAATTCCCATGGAATGATGCCTTTTGGATTTGTTCATCTGACACGTGGACGGTTACAATTAAGAAACGAATTGTATGCTCTTTAAAACTAGGAATGAGATTCACTCCAGATCTCTATTTTCCCAGCCGGCAGACTAAGAGATCTGAGTCATTCAAGAGAGAGACAAAGAGATCCAGGTGTTTTAAGTTTTTGAGATTCGAGTCGTTTAAAATTGGGAATGAGATCCACTCCGGATCTGTGTTCAAAGCTTGTGGACCGAAAGATTCGAACTGTCCAAGACAAAGATCTGGGTCATTTAAGTTGTTGGATTTTTGTGAAGTGAGCCAGTAGAATAGGATAAGGAAGGTCCTAAGATTGAAAATGAGTGATTTGTATCTCTCAGTTCGCGAGCTCCAAACACAGGATTCAGACATTAACAAAGGGATATGTAAGAAGTAAAACGTGGTGTGTAGAGAGCATACCTTTTTTTTTTAGTATCTCGATATTTTTACACTAAAGGGAAGGGGAGTTCGGCTAAACCACACAATGAACAGCTTAATTTGGTATCAAATTCACCATCCATAAAATTCGAACCTAAGACCTCTCACTTCCAAATAAAAAATAATATCACCAGATTGTAGCACTGAGTGACAGTGAGCATACCCTTTAAAAATCATGCTAATGGGCCTCAACGTTTCTAATATCTAAAGAAGTGGGCTTCGAAGGCGGTGAGGCCCCCATTCCATCGGATTGACTTGACCGGTTGGCGACTGCCAACTCCGCAGCATGGATGGCATCCATGGATTATACCTTTCTTCTTTCTGCAAATCGCAGCATCTGCACTGCACAGAGAGAGAGAGAGAGATTAGGGTTTCTCTCTGCAATCAATTGGGGATTTTGACTTCTAAGTATGTCGAATTCGAGGGTTACCATCACCCTCGGTCGCTCTGGCCAGGTAACTTTTCTTCTCTGCATTCGTTCTTGTTTCTGTGTTTTTCTTCGCCAATTGAATCTGTGAGTAAGAAGGGGATGGTTGCAATTATCCAAATTGTGTAATTTCCGCATTTATCAGCCTCAAAGGGAAGGGGATCGGTTTTTTCTTACGTTTACTAAATTAGATTCAATTTCTTGAGCTTCAAATTCATCCTATTTAGCTATTTGGAATGCTTTGACGAACTTTTGGGTTGTGCTGGACTTGGCTGAATGGCTCATAATATCCTGGGCTGAAGAACCGGTTTGAATGCGAATTCGGGTTGATTTGTGTGTTTGGTTGCTTATTTGTTGAAATATTTGTAGGTTGTGGAGAGAGGAGGATTTGTATCCAACTCTGCGAAAATGCGTGGTGATAGTGGGATGGTTTCTGGAAGTAAACGAATGGCAGACAGACTTGGGAGTAATGCTCATGGTTTTTCGTTTTCTTCGGGCAAGCGGTACACTGTTCTATCTCGTTTATCTCCATAACTTTTACCTGGCATATCAGCATACTACTTGTTTCAGTAGTTCTTCAGATGCTGTGTGTTGAGGATGCTTGTGATTCTCCAATAGTTTGTTTCCATCTTATGGTTGTTAGTAGTTATCTGTGAACTCATGGTATCCAATGCCCAGAATTGTTTTAACATCTTCTACCGTGCAAGCCACCGCCAATGCTAGAACTAGCTCTTGAAGCATTTTCATGTTGAGAACGGTCCGATTTAGGAGTAGGCTGGTGCATTTTGTTCATTAATTACAAGCGTAGTTTGAAAAATGTGAAAAAAATTTATTTGTTTTCGCCTTTCTTTTTAAGTTTGTTTGGCGACAACCAGAGATCTACGTTTCTCAATTTACAGAAGTTTGATTATGATGGCAGTAACGTCTTTATGGTTGTCCCATTTCGAGAATTGGTATTTCAGGCAGTAACATGTCAGATGCGTCTTTAGTCCTATCATGATGTGTTCAATCTCAATTTTCAGGCAACGAGGAGATGGCATAAAATGGAATGAGGGTGATAGAACACTGCAAGGTAAACTATCTTATATGATAACAGTGATATTACCATCATGTATCGTTTATTGTTCTTTATATGGTTTCTTTGTATTGACTCTGGTGCATTAAACCAAGTGAAGATTCACGAATCAGTCGAAATGACCTCAGATTGAAATTGTTGCGTAAAAGATTATTTAAGAAGCAAATTGGCGGAGTTGTTGAAGAGCACAAGCAGTTGGACCCTCGTGCAAAGCTTTCAAAACCTGTTCATCCTTCACTGAAATACCAGGTGTTGCAGCATAATTCAGAAACAAATGGAAGTAACCCCATGAGGCAGGTTCCTCCCAGAGAAAGTCCAGCTGATCTAAACCAGGTAAATTCTCGAAGAAACTTCTACTCTTCTCCAACTACAGATGGATTCAGAGGTAGATCCCCACCAAGAGAGCTGCACCCACCATCTTCATTTAGGCCAGTTGACGCTTCTAGAGCTGGCCAATTCCCGAGAAATGGTATGGTTGGTTCTTCTGACTCCTTTATTTTCACAATGAAAGCTAACCCTCAAGCTGCCAGGCCAATGGCACAGTTTGCACCACCAAGTGCCAGTGTGCAGAGAAGTTCACAAATGGTACTACCTTATGGCGATTGCACCATTTTAGCTTCAATTTTAGGAAATCTGGTCTTGTATTGCTACTTCAAATTTGATGAGTTTATCTCTGCATTTGTACAGGTGGATGAAACTCTAACTGTTGCTGGCTTGTTGCACAGCCTTGGTTTGGGAAAATATGCCATTATTTTCCAGGCTGAAGAAGTAAGTTACCTGGCCGTTTTGAAATTTTCATTTAAATTTGCTTTCCTTAATTTGGATGAAGACTATAGGCCGCCGTTATCTAATTTTTTACACAGCATCTAAAGTAGGGAATATTATCCGTGTTTTTAAAGGGGAAATCTGATCAATCCAATGAGAAATACTAATATAACTGAAGACGAATTTAGGTTCTATGTTTTGTCTTCGGTTGTGGACGTCAGGTTTCTCAATGCTCGATTGTTGGGTTTGCAGGTGGACATGACTGCTTTGAAGCAGATGGGAGATAAGGATCTCAAAGAGCTGGGCATACCGATGGTAAGTTTCATTCACTCTAAGCTTCCTCTTTTATCCGCATGCTCGTTGCAATGGAACTTGACCCGTTCTCACAGAGGTTGCTTAATATTCAGGGACCAAGAAAAAAGATCCTTCTTGCACTCTTGCCCCGTACCAAACGGCCACCACCATAATCTTTACTTTTAACGATGCAACGAAAGATCTTGTTAAGAACGAAGGATAGAAGATTGCCGCTGTACCGCTGTGCCAATTTCATTTCATTTGTTTGTACTTTCACCCGTTGTATCCGAAATATAGTTGAAGTTGAGGTTCGAGAGGGGTTGATTAGTTTGAATAATTCCTCCTCCTCTATAGGTGTCGTGTTGTCGATTTGAAAGATAGGGTTTGTGCTGTTGTATTTTATACATAGAACTATTTGTGTCCGTATAGTTTTTGGAAGATTGTGATTTGCAGTTAAGGAGGAATTAAACGATTATTCGTGTACTATAATTGAATCCAAGAATTACAACGTAACGATGTCGTTTCGGACAAACATCGAATTGTGGAAGCAGATGAACAATCTCTCAATAAGCTCGAACAGAAGGCGCACTCGAAGCAGAAGACTTGGAATCCCGCGCGCTCTTCCCGCATTCTTTCCCTTCCCTCAAAGCAAAAGCAGCCATGAACTTGTCGTTCCAGCTCACAGGCTTCCCCACCAACGACGGCTGTGCCGCCGTCTGCTTCTGGCAAACATGGTCGGCCGGGAACCGGTGCTTGAGGCAAACCTTGATCTTGCAGGTCTTGCAGGTGCTGGTATTCGAAAACGTGAGAATCTCCTTGCACCGGCGAACCGGGCAGGTTGGTTTCTTCTTCTTTCTGGGGTCGCAATTTCCGGACTTGGCGTGCTTCTCCAACAGCAATTTCTGGTCCTGTTCGCCTTCGCGGCCGGTGGTTTCTATGGATGTCGAGCAGATTTCGCAAACCACCACCTTTCTGCTGTTGTGGTCCGATTTCGGGCACTCGTGGGACTTGTAGGACCGATGCTCAACGCAGAAAACCTGCACATTCGTAAATTCAAGGCAATCAAAACATGCAAAAACGCTTGATTTTCCGTATCAAATCCACGAAGCCCAACGTACCTTATGACAACCGTCGCATTGGAAGGGGAGGAAATCGAGCTGGTGGCAATCGGAGAGCTGGCAGTGTCTTCCCAAATCCGGGAAAGCTTCTGTTCCTCCCGTCATCTTGTTCGTAATCTGAATTCAATTCCCTTGGAATCTCTGATCTTGGATTGGCAGTCGGCCCCTCTTGGAAGGTTAATATATATAGAGAGAGAGAGAGACAAGGTCGGTCTGTCGGTCGGTCTGGGGTTGGCTTGGGGCGGAAGCCAAAACCAGGTTTGACGCGGATTGCAGGAGATGCAAGTTTCTAGTTTCGCACGACGCCTCTTTCCTTTCCTCCTCAACGGAATGGGACCCCATAATATATCCCTCAAAAAATACAAGATTGATAGACCCACAAAAATTAAATCTTTTTTTTTTAATTGTGTTGGTGGTTAATCTAACATTTAATTTAACAAAATCTATCAATAAACGAAAAAAAAAAACAAATTAGAGCATGACAATTGAAATTATAAAAAGTTTTTTTTATCAATTAAACTCTTGAAGGTTTTTCC